AGCCGTCCTATCCCATCGTCAAGGCTGAAGAGACAGCCATCGTTATTTGAGATCGTCTGAGATCGTGATCGTGGCCGTAACTCGAAGGAGTCACGGCATCGCACTGACTGAGCTCACCTTTGAAGTTGGATCAAGGGCTCACCATTTTCAAGGTGCGCTTCTTTGGAAGGCCGCAGATCTGCCACTCCCCACCGGGCCACATTAGCGTTGAGGTGATATAATCGACAGGACGTATCTTTTGCCTACAGCATCGCTAGAGCAAGGCCAAATGCGGTGAGGTCTTCCAGGGTGGCTGTGGCAGTGACCTTCTTTGACACATATGCTGCGGGTCATGTCGAGCGATTCTAGAGGTAGTGGCTCACTCTACGTAGTACGTAGTGACCGTGTAGTGCGTACCTAGTCCGTAAATTTCAGCGCCAGTCCGGGCCAGTACCGCCATCGCTCGGACCTCCCTCCTTGGCCCAGCGGCTCTGGAGGCGCCGCTCAGAAAGTGATCGCTTGGGTCACCTCTGACGCCCCCGGGCTGTTGTGGCCGTAATCCTTCATGCAAGGGATCTCCGACTGTAGAGGGGGATCCTTGCATCAGCATGCCCAGCAAAATCGGAGCCTGCACTGCGTCGATTGCACAGAACTTGCGCCTCCAGCGTTGAATCAGTTGCGATTGCAGTGCTATGGGTACTCAGGTTCATACCCCGCCATGGCCACGGTCTCCACGATCAAGGCGGAATGTGTGGAAAAGAAGACGGCCTGCATCGTGCGGTGGCTCGGCGGCGGCTTTACTCGTAGCAGAGATGTCGCCAGGCAGGGCCCAAGTTCTCGTTCGGTCATCCTCTCAGCGATGTCTTCGCTGTTGTGAGTCTTAGGCGCAGGAGCAACGCCCAGGTTTGATCAAGGGTCTCTGTGGACGTTCAAGGATTCAATCATGTTGTCTAAGTGTCGGAAAGACTTTTGGGTGCTGGACTCCTCAAAGGCACGGCCGGACTGAACACACCAACGACTCCCAGAGGCTCGGAGCAGCATTTGTCAAGGGGGGGGGGTGTTGGTCTAGGATCCTCTCGGTTTGTGCAAGCCTTTCGGTACGGTAAGCTGTTGTTTGAAAGTTGGCCTTCGGTGGCTCACTGCTGTTACCTGCCGATCTTGAGTTGTCACACCTTTTGGACGAAGATGAACCATATGTCGATGATAACCAGAATCAGAATAAGAGCATGATCATGATAGTGATGACGACGATGATGATGATGACGATGGTGATGATGACGATGATGATGATGACGATGAAAATGACGAGGGCGACGACCAAGACCATGACGACGCCGCTGCTGATTTCCGGGATGATTGCAATCTTGGTGGTGATGTTGTTGATGGTGATGATGATGGTGGTGAGGACGACGATGACAACGGCGACGGAAGTTGCACTCCGTTGGTGGTGAATGCGTCTGTTTAGATAATTTATAGTTGTCGTCGTGACTGAAGGAACAGTGGAGAGTCGCCATGAAACATGGTTGCCGCTGCAGTGCGGTTTCCACAGGTGCTGTGAAGGAAGCAAGTCCGGGCCCCGATGTGTTTCGAGAAGCGAGCTTGATTGGAGCCTGCGACCTTCGGCAATCCGAGGCGTGAGCAGTCAGGCGACGGAAGCCGAGGTTTTTCGGGCTCCCATTGAAATCTAACTCGCCTGGCTTCGAGGTGTCGCCTCGAGGACGTCTGCCGGTCCGAGGCGCTAACAAAATTCCTTTGCAACAGAGGCCACGAGAGCTCCCACGTTGCGCAGGGCTCGAAATTCCTGGACCTGGCGCATATGAAAACAGATATCTGGGAAGGTGCGAGACCCGCTCGAGCGAGAGAAGCAGAAATTTGCAAAGAGATGTCGGTGATGCTCACAGCTCTGGCTAGCAAGCTCGAGATGAAGTGAACTTGAAGGCGTGCCCTATCCTGAGGCATTTTCTATGTGGTAGCGCGTGTTGGCACAGCGGATGCTAGCCCTGAAGCCCTGAGCCAAAGATCCCCGGGGATGTCAACCCCGTGGAAACTCCACCTTGACATGATCATATGCCAGTCTTTGACCCGTTCTCGGCCAAGTCCGCTGTCGCCATGGGACATGTTCCTGCAAGTCGGCAGACACCGGCAAACAAGCCTCCACCGACAGGTTCGTGTGGCGCAAAGCTTACTGGAAACACCTGTCCCCGTAAGCTGTCGGAGCGGATTCTGAAGGCGTGTGGCACGTCAAGCACCTTTCTGGGAAGTTCGGCTCAGCAAGCCGTTCCTCTGGTTTACGGGAAGCGTGTCTTTGCCGCACCCGAGGGAACCTAGGACCTAGGACTTCCTTGGGCCTCGGTTTCCTCGTTTCCTGCAAGGATGCCCCGCCCTGCTTGGAGCGAGCCCTGGCATCGCGGCCGCTGCGGTGCGAACGGTGGTGCGTCGCGGGCGGCGGAAATGGAAGGCCACATGTGCTCGAGACATGAGCTGGAGGTTCCATGAATGTGCGGCATGGGCTTGGATTTAGACACTGCAACATGGCAGGAGAAGCTTCGACGATTCTGGCCAGGGACGCCCAAAGTAACGGCTGCCCGCAGCTTGTCGTTTTGCCTCGGATGTGTTTGCCTTGAGTCCACCTTCGAGACACTTCGAGACCGGTCGGGTTTCCGTAGGGTTGCTGCAGAGTGACTGAACGCGAGGTACAGTGGATGCCAAGCTACGTCAATTGGAAGATGCTCGCGCAAGTGCTGATGAGAGCAAGCTGAGAGAAGCGTTGGAAGCTGCACGCCGGGACCTGCAAGCAGTGTAATTCAGAGACCGCCCGGCTGTTTGTGTTTGTATTGTACATGGCAAAGTTTAACAGAAGTCTTGATCCATCTCGAAGGACACTGATCCCGAGCGATCTGAGCGGGCGGAGGGCGCAGATGCCCTGGTGGAGAGCCTGGCGCAGACGGAAGTCGCCTTGAACTGCATTCTGGTGGACCGTGCGCTGAAGAATCTGAAAGAGGCGCCAGGAGGAAGTCGGAGATCTTGTGAGTCCCAGCAGACGGCTTTGAGACAGGTCATGGGAAGCGGGGATGAAGCACAGCTACGAGATGCAATCCAGGCGGTTCGGAAATCAAGGGTTCAGAGCGCCTGCCGCATTGTACTCCGCTCCGAGGCGGCGCGGGATGTGGAGCTTCCACTTTCTCAGCTGGAAAAGGCAGAGAAAGCCTTGACCGAAATGGCGCGCCCCGAGAGAGAACTGCAACAACGGCTTGAGCTGTGGTTCCTTCGGCTCCTGCTCAGGTTCAAGAGCGAGAGCTCAAGGTGCTGCGAAGCGCCACAGTCGGAGACGATGAGACCCAGCTCCGGAATGCGATTAAAGAGGTGGCCCCGCTGGAGTCTTCCAGCCTCCGGTGGTAGTCTTGACACATCTCTGTACTCGTAGGCTGCCTGGTTACGGGCATTTCTAGAAGTGAGGCAGCACAGTCTCCTTCCCGCGATGTCGCCCGCAGGCCCGTCTAGCCGGTCTGGCCGATCTTCCAACCGACGACGTCGACAAAGCTCAGGCCGAGCAAGTCAAGATTTTCAGAATACTCGTAGCATATTATGGTTCCTAGATTCTTTCTTAGTCGGGGAGCTCGTGACTGGAACTGTAGGAGTGGTAGAGATCTGAAGGCCCACAGCACCCCTGAGGTTAATTTGACTTTAGGTTAGTTGTGCTTGGGCTGATCTTTATCACATGCACAGTTGTCTTGGTACTCGAGTCATCCTCGCTTGTGAGCATAGATCCTCAGCCATGCGAGAGGGGAAAAAATCTTAGATGTTCTGAGGGGAGGTTTAAGAAGTTAAGTCCGTAAGTCATATAATGATTCTCTTGCAGCCCCGTGCATGACCGGAGTTCACCGGTAAGGATCCCACGAGGTACTCTAGCTGCTCTAGCTTAGCGAGGAGAGACCGCAGCCACATTCCGAGCCGACAAATCTCAGTTCGGTTCCGACCGCCATGCACCGAGCCTGAAGCAAGCCTGAGTTCTCTTGCCGGCCCATTATCAGGATGCACTGAACGAGCTAATTCTGGCTCGCGAACGCAAAGCCTTGCCCCTCGACGAGTTTGATTTTGCTGCATGTTCTGACATTCCACCGGCCGATTATTGATGTCTCTCGAAGGAGTGATGCTATGGAGACTGGGGACGAGATACAGCTGCGGGGTGCGATAAGCGACGCCAGTAAGGCCGACGTGCCCGTGGAGGAGGTGGAGGAAGCGCAGAAGTTCTTGCAGAGGCTCACCCTCCGGAGGCGAGTGGACTTTCTGGAGAAGGCCATCGGCAGCCGAGACGAGGGCCAGCTGCGTGAGGCCATCGCGGCGGCACGGAAGGTTTCGCTCCCGGAAAAAAACGGCTCGGAGGTAGCACGGGCCAATTCTATCCTCGGCCGCTGGGGCCGAACTACTCTGGCTTTCGTCGGCTGTGTGGAAGCCTCCCTCAAACAAACCTTGCCTGCCGGGTGCGAGTGTGAGAGTCGAAACTGATCTGTGCGCGGCCAAGGACAAGCGCAGGCCACCCTGAAGGACATCTTCCTGGAGAAGGACCCACTGTGGGACGGGTCAACAGATGTCAGCATGGAGACAGGCTGTTTTGGCAACTGCGCTGGTAAGAAGTGGACTTGCGTTGTGTGTCGTTGTTGGTTATGGCGGCTATGCATACAGCAGACGAGATGCTCTTAGAGCTTCGCGGGGTTTTGAATGGTAGGTGCTTATGACTCATGACTGAACTTTACGGTGCTGGTCTTGATCCAGCACCGTGGCACTGTGGGCAGCATGCCTTGCCTGTCTGACCGCTGACTGAGGAGCTGAAACAGCTCCAGGATGCTGTGACCAGTGGCGATGAGGACATCGCTTGCTTAAATGTTTGGTTCTCCTGAAATGAGATCGTTGCAATAATCAACATGCTGAATCAGGCTTGTAGTTGATCTTGATTGTTATGCTTCACGGCCACTTCCCATGGCCTGGTATGAGGACCAACTACGCGAGGCTTTGACCCAGGCAAGGGCACTGGACCTGCCGGAGGAGGAATGCTGCTCGGCAAAGCAGGGATGTTGCTGGCGAGCTCCGGTTCCTGCGTCCTGACGGGATTATGCGGAGCCTTGCCTGCCTCGTGCGAGTGTGAAACCCAGGCTCCCGTGCGCAAGAGCAGTTGAACAGCCTCGTTCTCGCTCGGAAGCTGAAACGCCTGAGAAATGCGGCCGGCAGTGATGACGAGGCTCGCAGCAGGAGTAGGAGGACATTTTGCTTTATGGATCCGAATGTGTTGCGCAGGGCCAGCTGCGGGCGGCGATCACGGAGGCGCGCAAAGATGGCCTCCCTGCAGAGGAGCTGGAAAGGGCGAACGATGCACTCTCTGCTTTGGTGCGGCAGCGGGACGTGACGGAGCTCCGAGAGGCTGCAGCCAGCGGAGATGAAGAGCTTCTACGGGAGGCCATCTTGGAGGCTAAGCAGCTGGAGCTGCCCACCGAGGAGGTCGACACGGCCCAAGCTGCTCTTACTGTTCTGGTGCAGCGTCACCTGGATGAATGTGAGGAGTTTTCTTTTCTGATTGTGTAGGTCATATACCAATGCGAAAGCTACAGGACAGAAGCTCCGGTTGAAAGCATTTAGTGGAGATGCCTTAAGGACGCTCTGAGCGAGAACTGGAACAGGCAATGGCCGCCGACGAGTCCGAGCTCAAAGCCGCCATTGCCGAGGCGCGCAAGGCGGGCCTCTCCGAGGAAGTGATCGAGAAGGCAAAGGAGACGTTGCGCCAGAAGGCCCGTGCCAGGATCTCCAAGTACTTGCAGGATGCGACGGACTTGCAGGAGGAGGAACAACTAAGGGATGCTTTGACAGAGGCTAGAAAGGCAGATGTAGCTGCTGAGGATTTAGAGGTGGCACAGGCTGCTTTGACAAAGCTGGTTTCCGATCGGCTGGTGGCAGACCTTCGCATTGCCACTCAAGGCAACGAGACAGAGCTTCGTGAGGCGATTCGCGAAGCAAGGCGCCAGGAACTGCCATCTGTGGAAATCGACAAAGCTCAAGATGCCCTGGCCGAGATGGTCGCGACCAAGAAGTTAGCCTGGCTCCGACGAAAGCTCGAAACCATGGTGGATTGCGAGGATGAAGACGAGGTCCGAGAGGTGTTGAAAGAGGCACGCGCTGCGCAAATCGGTGGCGAGGAACTCGAGAAAGCCCGGGACCGTCTCACGGACCTCGTGATGATCCGCGAACTAATGGAATCCTATACTAGGTTGTCTCTACGCACGGTCATCGAAGAGGCCGAGCTCCGTCAGCTAGAGCATCCAGCCTTGGATGTTGCCAGGCCGAGCCTCCCGCCAAATATTTAGGTCACGACCCTGATGTTCTCTGAGAGGCTCTTGAAGTTGCTCTCAACGATGCGTGTTGACAGGAGCAAGCTCTCGGCCATCAACCGTTTGAAGGAGGCACCCACCACGCTGAAAGATAAGTTGAAAGGTTCTTTGTTTGGAAGCCGACTTGGAATTCACATCGCGAGGCCGAGCAGTCGCGAATCCCGCAAGTGATCGAAGCTGCCCTGGCGCATGGCAAGAGCCTCCGCATTGATCCGGACGTCATCAGCAGTGCCGAAGGCGTTTTGGAAAGGCACTTGGCAAGATAGAGAGTTACAGTGACATGCGCGGTTGCAGCGATGAAGATGCATGGGCCTTTGCGAGGGAACTGGGCATACAACGATTCGGGCTCAAGCACGACAAGGTCATTCAAGAGAGAGGCGGACAAGCGTTGCCAATACCGGTTCAAGAACGCTTTCGGAGTACCGATCTCTTCTTGACACTGTTGCAAGTCGCTCCGCTGCACTGGGCTGATTGACATTGTCTGTGTAACTTCCGCAATCACACGCTGAAGTTCTGAAGCCGAAGTTCTCGCACATGTTGAACCCTGACCTTACCCGAAGTGGACGTCCTCAGGTTGTGTCCAGCAGGACTTTGCAGCAGGTTGCGATGCCCGTCGCCGTCTGCCACCTCGCTGCATAGGTGAACTCAATGCTTGCCTGTGCCTGTTTTGATTTGTTTGAGGCACGATCTGGGCTGCATGCTGCGCTGCCATTTCTTCATGGCGTCACTCGCTTCCAGAATCAGCCTGGAGGTGCCTTGACTTTTCGCAGCCTTTGGATTCTGCTTGGTCTCTTGAGCTGGCGGGATGTTTCCCGTGAGGCTCAACCAGTTCTTGGTGACTCCACTCGGCTTGCTGCTGACATTTCGTACGCAGCAGTCCATAGCGAGATTCAACGAAGCAGTGACGAACTGGGGCAAGATCTCCAGCCTTTGCAGAAGTCTGTCACGGACGCTGTTCTACCATGATGAGCGGGTACCACGAGTCCTTGGGCTGAGTTGTGGATTTTTCTGCCGTTGTCGAGTCATCGATCCAATCGTAGCAGTCGTAGCACCCGTATCAATGAGACTTTCATCAGGCGCCAGTTGACCGCCGTGTAAGGATATTCACCGCCGGCTTGCGCAAGACATATGCTTGTTCCCCGAAGTTCTGCGTGAGCACCTGGAGAACCGGCGCACCAAGCTCCTTAACATCACTCGCGACGATGTCAATAAACCATTGGCTTTGTTGGACCGGGTGCACTCTCGCATCTCCGGCTTGCTCCTGCTTGAGCTATCTGAGACTAGGCATGAGTTTGCCAGAAAGCCCGCGCAACGCTAAACGCACGGGTGTCAGACTCTCAGGAGAGGAGCCAGCTTCTCAGATTGGTGGAGCAGCTCTCCGACCTGGTCAGTCCTTGCGAAAGCGTCGTGCAGACACCCGTGCCACAAAGCTACGTGCCGTGGCAGTGCATGCAGGGTACATGGTTCTTGTCTTGGGTCGTTTTCTGACGACGATGGTGGTGGTCTATGTAGAAAGGCTGACGACAGGTCAGGCACACTGGCCGCTTTCTGGCTGTTTGGCTGCTCACCTTGCCTCTGGCACTGGCTCCAGAGACAGGTTGGCTCACGGTGCTTATTGCCCCTTGGCTTTCCTTGTCTTGCCTGCCGACGTTGTAAGCAGCATGTTCAGAGACACTGCAGCAAGGAGCTCATCGCATCTTGGGGCTTGCTGGGTATACAGGACTGGCTTGCAAACTGTTCCTGCAGCCCTGAAGCTGCGAAGCTTGGATTCCAGGAGATTGGACTTCGTCTGGAGGATCCGTTCAACGGAGACTTTGGCAGAAATGTGCAGGAGTAAGCTCCGTGTTGCGCCACGAGTCCTATTGCTCCGAACCCGAGGTCAGGTCACGATGCAGGTTTCCATCACCACCGTGGCCAAGGAAGTACGGCAGAGATATGTCTTGGTGGTAGCAACTCGGATGGAGTGTGGGAGAGTTGAGGTTCAATGCGGGTCCTTGGTAAGGGCGATGTGCGACTTAGGAAGAACTACTCCGAGCACATGCAAGTGACCAGCTGGAAGATGTGTGTCAGCGTTGGTCTCATCGATTTGACTCGCGATTCTTTCGGATTCTCCGCGATGAGCAGCGTTTGGCGGTAGAAGAGCAACCTGGCTGCAGAGGAGATCAGTGGAGTCATGTGTGATATGTCGCGGGCGGCTGAGGAGCCGGCGAACATCGCTAGCAGCTGTTCTGGATTCTGTCAAAGAGTGGCGGGAAAATTCGAGATATCGCAGATGCACTGAGCACGTGCAAAGTGAGGAATGCTTGTCTTCCGAACGCAGCACGCAGGCGTCCGACTACTCAGAAGCAGTGGCCGTTCGGCTGCTCCACAGCCACGGGCCGTTTCGAGGCTCCGGAGTCTACTCCGGGGCCGGGATCTCAGAGGCTGAGAGGCATTCTGTAGTATATTCTATTAATTATATTATAGTATGTTATGGTCTAGTATAGTGTATGAAAGTATATTATGTTATAGTATAGTATATTATAGTATATTATATGGGAAGCTCGGAACATGTCGGCCAGCTCAGAGGCCCGGGGACTACGAGTCGAAACCTGGCTCCATGCACGGAGCTCAGACAGACACGGGACTCGAATTGTCCCGTAGGATGATGCCGATGATGGTGGTGACATGTGGTTACCATGAGTTGAGCGGTGGTGCATCGGCCTGCTGTAGCTTGCTGATGCTGGTTTTCTCCGACTGATCACCTTCTCAGCCATTCGGACGCAGGAGGACATCCTAGAAGACGTGTCATCCCAGGCCCAACCAAATGCATGCTTCTGAGAGGTTGTTGAAGGATCTCGGACAGGCAGTTCTGCAGCAAGCAAGTCACTACACAATACCAGCGGCATCTCGGGACCCGCAGACGCAGACTTCACTCTTCCGACAGCTCATAAGTCGTAAGTCCCAGGAGAGAGACCTAAACTCGGACGGTTTGCCCAGATCTCCTTTGACCGTAGAAATGCGATGGCTGCTGATCTCGACCCATGGAGTGCTTTAGACGACGAGAGAGACTCCGTCGGGGAAGAGGAGTGGGATCGGCTCAGTGCAGTCTTGTCTCGCCAGCTGTGCATAAAATTGAAGTCCGTGCAGGGTCCAGGCTGATCAGCACGGCCCAAGCTTGTAGGAACTCGATGATGACACTGGCGAGGTAGAGGTGACGGTGCAAGAGGAGGACATCGACTTTTCAAAGGCCATGCGCACAAGCATCCACAAGCTCTAGCGCCGTCGGTGGCGGGTGCAGGCAACCAGCGGCGACCCTGCTCCGTGGGCTGCTCTCGACGAGGAGGAGGAGTCCGTCGGGGAGGAGGACATGCAGGGAATCGAAATCGAAGCGGCCTGCCTGAGCTCTGCTGCAGCACTGGAGGAGTGGAAGCTCGAATCTCACGACGATGATGTAGAGGTGTTGGTTGAAGATGACGAGTTCCTGGAAGACGAACTTCCAGTGCCTGGGTTGGTGTAAACTTTGTAAACGTTTCCGTTTCCGGCAGAGCCGTCGTCTGAGTCGAAAGACCAAGCTGGCAGGAGCTGCAGGAGGAGTTCGAAGAGCTGAGGGATCTAAAAGAGATCGGAGAGCCAAACGGAGAACCCCAGGCGCCGACTGTCGTAGGCCTATACATACTGGTGGCTTTGCGCCAAGTGTTCGTCTACCAGGGCGAGAGCGAGGAGGAAGAGGTGGTGCCCGGTCGGGAAGACGATCTGAAGTTGTCAGATGTTCCCGAAGACATGCGGGAAGCAGTTCAAGGCGCTGCGTGACACCGTAGGTCTGCCGTAGGTTGGCGCATAGCTCCTGAGCTGCTGTGTCAGCCACTGCTTCGAACAGACTCTTCGAACACTTTCCCCAGGCAGTTTGAGCTTGAAGCGGGTCCTGGAAAAGAAGTACGGCAGCTTCTGAGCTTTTCGAGAGCCCTTTTTATTTTGGTCTCTTTCGGGCAAAATAGGGGCTTGCCTGGGCTCATGCGAGAAAGCCCTCGAGCTTGTGACTTTGAGGCCTTCCGTCAGAGGAGCCCGACGCAAAGAGGCGGCGAGAGGAACCGCCCTTGGAGGGGCCACGGCAGGAGCTGATAGACCGCTGGAAGCTCCACTGGGACCCAGCACTGAGGCTGGGATTGCCAACATGTCCAAAGCATCTCTCTGCGGAGGGTCGTTCTGTCAGGTACGTCATGCAGACCGCCGAGATTGCGGATGTCGAAGCCGTTGCCAAGACCTCTTGGAAGCCCATGGTTCGCCTCGCTGCATTGCCTTGTGCCCTCCATAGGAGCTGACTGCTCCTGCTATGTCTCACGATGTCACCATGTTGCCAGGCAAATCCTCCTCGAGTCAATGGCCGTGACCCGAAGTCCTTTGCCGAGCAGGTGAATGAGAAGTTCCTCCTTGCAAGGGAGGACAAGCTGTGCTCCAAAGAGGCTGTGAGCGTTTTGGAAGCCTGGAACCGGAGGCCGGATAAGCAGGCATGTCACTCTTGAGCCCCAGAACGCTTTCCACCCGTTCCAGGTGGGGCCTCCAAGCCGAAGATGTGTCGCGCCTGCGGTCGGCAAGCCACAAGAGCCTCAGAAGCTCGGATTGATGCTGCCGTGTCACGCCTTGCTTGGCGCAAGCGGTGAAGCAGTGAAGTGTGCCGCATTTGGCCAAGGATATGTGATGCAGGAGTACGACGGCAAGCGGCCGATCCTGGAACTGCTGGACGAAGCGGCAGCCCAGGTGGTCGAGGAAAGCGAAAAGACGGAGGAGAGACCCAAGCCTGGTCTCGTCTTGATGCGACCCTTGCTGCATCTTGCTGCAGGATGCCCTGCCCGATAATCCTGGGCTCTTTACGCTCAGCAGGTCCGAGATTGTGTGTGTGTGTGTGTGTTTCTCTCTCTCTCTCTGTCTGTCTCTCTGTCTGTCTGTCTGTCTGTCTGTCTGTCTGTCTGTCTGTCTGTCTGTCTGTGCGTGTGTGTCACACCCTGTCAACAAAGGCTTTCGAGTAAGCAGGGGGATGCCCCACATCTCAAAAGTGGTCATCTAACGAAGAGGCTTTTCAACATGTGAAGATACAGCCTGGTACGCCAGTCTTGCATACCTGCGATGTAGTGCCATGGCAAACAGACTTAGCCTAAGCCACGAACCTGGCAAGCCGAATAGGTGTGTTTTGCCGGTCTGGTTCAGGCCGTTACCTGATCTGATATATAGCGCCTGGCTCTGTAGAGACGGTCTGATGTTAATGGTATGGCTGCGGCTGAATGCCCAAGTACGTGTGTGTGTGTGTGATGCATGCGTGTGCGCCTTGTGTGTGTGTGTGTGTGTGTTAACAGACCTGACAGTTATGAGTGCGCAGTCAATCGTGTAGGTTCAACCGATTGGAGCTGATCGACTCCATGGCAGATGCGCTGGTCCTCGGCGATTGCCTGAGATGCGGCGCAGCCATGTCCAACCCTGTGATAGCCTGCACATCCTCTAGCGGCGAGCGACTCTGCCTTCTAGGCGATGCCAACCTTACCTTCTCTGCCTTGCTCGCGGAGCACCGGGAAGGAGACTCGTGGAGCGGCATGAGCATTGTGTCAAAAGTCCATGACCTTCTTTCGCACTGGAAATCCTGGAAGCTGAAGAAGTGTCGACTGCAGCGGAGGCCTCGGGCACGTTGGGCGCGTGGTTGCCACCACGTTTGAGACCATCGAAATCCTGCGAGAGAGACTTGCGCGGCATGGAGAGAGAGCAATAACAGCTGTGCTCAGCATAGTCCTCAACTCAACCCGGTTACGTGTGCAGGCAAAGTGTGTGTGTGTGTGCGATCAGGCGATATTCGGAGATCGATCAGACAGTGAAGGCCCTGGAAGACAAGATGCAACGCACCTAGCTCTCTTTGCGCCCTCCCAACATAAGTTTGACTGCACCTGTCTCCCCAAGCATCTTTGCACCCCTTCACATGAGGTCTGAGGTGCTTCACAATGTGGATGCCACGAGGTGCTGGGAGTCTTCGAGCCCCACTGCATGATATTCGCTTCAGCAAAGCTCGGAAGTGGACTGACAGGCTCGCAGTGGATCCTCGCTTTCAGGGCATGGAGAAAAAGTTCGGGGCCGTGTATTACAATTTTCCACATGCAGGCCAGGATCTGGACAGGTGAGGACATGTGGCATGAAACATTGCATGCCGGATGATGTGGCATGCATGGTCCCGCAGGTGCCATACAAGGTTTTTTTGACGGTCATCCGTTCGTCCGCCCAGTGCTTATGTCGGAACGTGGACGGCAGCATTGTGCAGCTACGCAGTCTGTCGCAACTTCCTCTGGTTCATCTTGACTTGAGGCTGGCGCCATGAAAACCTCATGCAACTTGTCAGCATTCTTGTTGGACCTTATCAGCTGAACTCGACACGTCGACACGCTTACGTCACGTCCATTGAAAAGGGCTCTCAGTTCCTGACTGCGCGCGTCGTACGACGCTCGAGGCATTTGTTCTTCCGGGCTTTGCGGGGCTTCGTGCAAAAAGGTGGAGTTGTCAAGGCGCCGGTTTCAACGTGTCATAGGTATATATATATATATATAATATACATACAGGACCTGTCATAGCAGGGCCTTGGTGACTCCCTGGAGGTGGCCTCGAACTGCAACGCGACGGGCGTGCGATATTCCGACATTGTCTTGGGAGCGTGGCTCGGCCGCCTGGGCTTCCTTTCGGAGAGGATATCATATCATATATTATAGTATAGTATAAGATAGTGAAATGTAATATGGAAAAATGTACTATAATGTACTATAACGCGCTCCTTTCGCCGCCAGACTCTCCGCAGGCAGAACAGCGAGTTCATCCACGTGGAGACCTTTCCATTCCTGGAGTGGCAGCTTCTCGACATGGAGCAGTCGCAAAAAAGGATAGAATATATCCTTTGGACAAATCTCACCTTTGATGCCAGGCTCAGAAACTATCGCCGTTCCTACGGCGATCGTCGCGACAAGGGACGGCAGCCGGCCTCAGAAGCGAAGCAAAGGGAAGCCAGGGCCAGAGCTCGTGACGAGCAGTGAGGCGACCCGATGACGGCGAGATCTACCGGGCCCAGAGGGCTCAGAGAGACATGGTTTACTGAAACTCGTCGGCACTTCAGTGTCCTCTTGGTGCTCCAGATGTTCTGAATTCACTCAACATACTCGGGCTCGGTACATCTAGAAGCCTTCGTTCAATCTGCGGCCAAAGAGATCTCTAGTGCAGTTGTGCTTGGGTGCAGAGCGTTTTCAGGTTTCCGTTACGAGTGCCTTGACAGCAGTGGTTTCGGTCTTGAAGGATGCCTCTTGACAGAGTGCTCGAAGGCCTTCGGGAGACAACCCACCAAAGCCAACTGTCCGGGAGCCGCCGTCGAGAGTCCGATGCTTGGTGTTGCTGCCCTTTGACATAAAGGTGTGGTGGCCCGCATGGCTTAGGCTGGCACATCTGGAATGCATGCACCAAGCTGGCGTCAAAATGTCCGTGTAGATGACCTGCCATACGAGGCGCAGCTCATGGCTGCCAGAGAAGGCAAGCTTCAGAGGATGAGTGGACCCTTGGAAACTTGTTGGCTGTGCTGCATCCATGAATCTCGGTAGCTGGGCAGTGTCAGGTGTGATTTAGTCGCTTTGCAAGGAAAGGATCGCGAACGGCGAGTTCAGGACGGGTGGGGGCAATTTCCAAGCCTGACCCCGACGGCTGTGAGCCACAGCTGGAATGAGGTTGTGCAGCTGTGCATGGCATGACGGTACCGATGTCGCTGACAGTTCAGAGCCTTGTGGAGTCGTGGCAGGAGATCGGCGATCTTTTCAAAGCGTATGCGGCAGGAGTTCACGTAGGTTGAAGTTCCGCAAGCAGGGGCCAGGGGCCAGCAAAGAAAAGTTACACCAAGGTCATACTATACAAGTCATACTCATGCTTAGAGCCGCGCCGTGCCGTAGTAGTGGCTAGGGCAGAGGTGCCTCAGCTAAGGGTGCGTCCTGAGAAAGAAAAGGCTGCGTCCCTGCCTGCCACTGTGGATGTCAGTGATTGTCTTTTTGACTTTATGGAGGTGGTTCTCTGGCCTTGCAGGTTAAGGTTAAGATTCTCCTCTGCACTCCGGCGCAGTCTGTTCTAGTGGATTTACTGCTGCTGAGGCATGTTCAGCAACTCGCCACAGGTGCGCAGCCCTTTAATCCAGACTTACACGGACTCCTTAACACAGACAAGCGGTATCTTTACACTGCTGTGCGATGAAACAGGCCGACCCCAGAGTGGCAACGGCATGGAGATGCCAGGCTGGAAGCCTTCATAAGCCTTCTATAAGAGCACCGCATACCTTCGGTCACCCCGCGGAGAGTGATGTGAAGCCGATGTGTCGTGCAAAGCTGCTTGAGAGGTTTCGGCTCTTCCACCGCCTGTTGCCTAGCGGGACAGCATCGCCATTTCCTTGACAAAGTGCTCGTGTGATGTCGCGAGGCAAGGAAAATCGTTTCCAGCTTCGAGCTGAGTGTCAGAGAAGTTGGCACAGTTCACAGGCTTTTTTCGGTGAGACAGCATGGAGGGCCAGAAATCCAGGACATTCGAGTGCGACATGATGCAATCCGCCCGGCAAAGGCCCTCGGAGCCTCTCTCCCAATGCGTCTGTCAGCAGCACGAAGAATGCCCAGCTGGGCACTGGGAAGTGAGCATGGCCGCAGCATGGCCTCTTTTCTTGTTCCTGGACGTGCTAGCGCTGCAGGCACGGTGGAACGCCCTCGGAAGTGGGGCTGGATCCTTGAGTACAGTACGTAGCCTTGCTTGTCTGCGGGGTTGCCAAAACAGCGCGTGATGCAGCAAATGCCTCGGTTCTACGAGAGGCCTGGAACCTACGACTCCCGGAAGCCCTCGCTCGCACGAGCTGCTGGCGCAAAGTGGGGGTTCTCAGACATCAACGTCTCAGCCCTGCATTTTTTCTCAATTTTCGAAGTGATCTCATAGACGGGTTGGGGGAGAGAAACAGAAAGGTTCGCCGCATCACAGCGATTCGCTCCTCCGGAGAGAACTACGTCGCCGGGACCTGGGGAGTGCGCGGCTTAGGCTTCGACACGGGAGGCCAACTTGGGTCCTGAACCCTGGTGCGCAGCGACCCTGCGGGAAGGTACGATCCACCTGCAAAGAGCCCGGACCTTGGAGACTTGGAGTGTCTTTGGGGCTTTCGCGACGAGTAGACAAGAAGAGCCAAGAACCTGTGGGAGGCCGGCCCAAGGCGCATCGCTTTCCGAACACAAACCCGAGGCCTAGTCAGTGCTTGCATGCGGCTGTGGCTCTTCAGATCTGATCCAGGCCGAGCATTATGGCGGCAGCGTCAAAGACCCGTGCCCCCTGCGCAGTTCCATCGTGGCTTATGCGAATTGACTCCAGAACAGCCTTTGCCCACCGACGGCAGTTGTTACTCGCTTCAGTCAAAGTCTAAGTGGTAACAGCATGTGAGGCAGAACATGAATTGCCAGGAACCCCTGGCCCTGCCTGCTACGACACTCTGACCGCGACTCGTGGCAACATCAAGCGAACTCCAGCGCCGGACTCGACGTTGTTGCCACACGGCATGCTGCGTGCCAATTCCTGCACTCTTCTGCCCGCTTACAGGGCTACTCCATGTGTGGTCGCCCCCAAGAGACCCGGGAGACCTCCCCGGGGCCTGGTTCTCAGCACGCTTGAACTTAAGCCAATACTGCTGTAAGACAGCGATGACGTCGCGATTGCTCGTTTTGCAACCGCTTTCTAAGACTATCGAGAATCGAGGCCTACAGATTATGGTGGTGCCTACACGCTGCAAGCTCGCCCAGCTGTGGTGAGATCTTGACAGCAGCAGATGTCAATCCTTGTCATTTCTGGCCTAGGTTCCGATGATGTCTGGCGGCCGGTACTTTCAGAGGTGCGATCTTCGTCTGACTTGCAGTACGGCGACGGTCTGTGTAGGCCCACTAAACTTCACTAAACCCGACTTTCCGATGTCAGTGCCAGAATTGCAACTAATTGGCGGGTTCATGGGAGATAACATGTACCACGGGTACTGCAGAATCTGTGTTAGGGTGTTGAACAAATGCACACCAGCTGAGACTTGGGTGAAAGTCTTAGTCACGACAGAAACGCCAATCTATTGTAATGCAACCTTTAGGAAACACGGTGACAGTTCTGACGCAAATGCCAAACCAGGTTGGAAAATGGCCATCACTAGCAAAGCGGAGGTTGAACATTGCATGTTGCATAGGAGTAGCATGTCCGGGAAGCGTCAAAAGCATGAGCCCTTGTTCTTTCTCAAACCCGGTTCCCGGTTCTGTTGCACTACCGTTGCCTACAGTAGGTCTTACTTGTACTGTCATTCTGTTTACAACTCTGGCCGGTTGTACTGTCTGCACATGTCGCGCTTCACGCTTGAATGTCTCTTGCACCACAATTATAAGTAGCTAAATCAAACGCATATTAAGCGCATGCATCAGCAGGTGAGCACGGAACTTTGTAAGGCTGCCGATGTAGCAGACTCGCCCCCTACTCGTAACGATCGTAGTGCCTGCGGAGGCATCACATCATCGCCCAGTCTAACTTCGGTACTAGACTATATGGTACTATAGTTATTTTAGAACCGATGTTTGTCGGGTCATCGCAACAGCCATGATGCACTGCAGCTGCATTGGGGGGGCGAGAGTGGTGGCTGCCGAGACGTCACCTTCAGGGCATGTCGCGAGTTCATGGGCCCACACATGCTCACGGCCGGGCTAGCTGGCTTGGGGTTGACTGTATCGGAGCTGGCGGTCGCGGAAAGCCTCGCTGGAGAAGGACACTGGTAGCTTGTAGATCAATGCGCTCATTCAAGGGATGTAAAATCCCGACGAGGTCAAGGTCAGGACCCTGCCCGATTCTTCATCCCTGAGAGGACAGGCTGGCGTACGGGCACTGGACAGGGTACACGTCGCGCTCTTCACCTGCAGCTGGGCAGCGGACGCCAACACTGACAGATTGCCTCGAAGGCTGCGAGATCTTCAGAACAGTTTCATCATTGGCGGTTAAATTTGATATATCAGGTGGCACGGCATCACGCCCATGAGTCGCATTCGTCATCATTCGGATCATCCGTCTGTGAGCAGGACCCTGGCGCCGGCCTGTGCTTGAAGCATTCTTTGCGGAGGGGCTGCTTGCTGCTAGCTGAGTTTACAGGCTGCCATAGCTTTTCTCCTCTCTACTCAAATCGCCCGGAACCCTGCCAAGCCCCCAGGCTGCCGACGAATTGCCCACCGTGATCAGGAAAGAGGCTTGTTACGATGGTGTGTCTGCTTCGCTAGGCTACACTACCATGTGCAACGTTTTGTCTGTTGTCACAAGAGCTGGTCGAGAATACAGGCTGCATTGTGTCATGGGTCAAGCTGGGCAGTAAGGGCAGCAGTCGAGTCCCTCGTGAAAAAAATTGTCTGACACAAGCACCCCCCCTTTAGTCGCTGCTGAGGAAAATTGCCCTCCTGGTAGCGCTTAAGCCTTAAGCACATCAGCGGGTCCCATTCGCGCGAATAGCTCGCTGACATGAAACTGTTTGTGCAGAAAGAGAGTATGAGAACCAAAATGCTTTGGTACTTATCCCGAACCGTCCGTGATGACACATGCAGGTCTTCTTTTGTTCGAACTGATGGCTTTGGAGCTGCACTGCAAGTTCAAGATGGTTAAGTGTAGCCATGCTTCATGCTGTCGTGCACTGATGTGTTGAGGGGTCGCCAGGGCTCGTTCTACAGTAGCTTGAGTAGGAAGTGGGGACGCAGCGCAACAGCAACAGGTCATTGTAGGCAAGCGGTGCTTGGAGCGATGGGCGCTGCTGAGTCCGAGCCGGTCGCTGGCCCGCACGAGCGCAACGTGCACGCCGTGGATGGCACCGTCCTTCCCAGCAAACTCTTCACCGTTGAGGATGCATCGCAGGGTTACACGGATGTCAATCACATCATGACATCATGGAATCACCACGGCATCATCAGACGACTCGTGCGTAATGAAGCATACAGCATACATGTCTTGTGGGCGGGGTGGGTGCAAGAATCAATATCTCGATCTTGGTTTGCTGCAGGGCTGGCTGAGACTAAGACTTTCCCAGTGTGAGGAGGGCCTTGGGTCCACATCTCGGCCTACGGTGTTCACTTTCCTCCATGGGCTGGGTGAGAGGACGCCTGCTGATGCCTGCTGTGCTTTCCTCGTGCGTTCACTCTGAAAGCTTGAGTCCAATCAGTCCAATCCAGGATGAGCGACTACGATGAAACAGCGAAGTCTACGAATATGCAGAAGGCCCGGGCGGTTCGGCCTTGACCAACCCTCAGCCAGAGTGTCTACCTGCAGGTGCTACAGGCGATGCCAGACAACAGCGCAAGGCCCCGGATCGTCCTCTTTGATGCTCGAGGTCATGGCACAAGCACTGGTTGGGAAAGAGGAGGGCCAGATCAATTTCATTGGCGCTGCTTGGGTGCGGACATGCTTCATGTCGCCGCAGCACACTCTGAACAGCCGTGGGATCCAAGCTACATTTTCGGAGGATGCAGTATGGGTGCAGCAGCTGCTGTTTGGGCAGCTCTCCTTTCTCCCAGAAAAGTTCGTGGACTGGTTCTATACCTTGTTCCTACTATGTGGGCCGGAAGACAGGCCAGGCGAGGTGTGCTGGAAGCAAAGGCGGCCTCGGTTCGCGAGACCGATCCCATCCAGTACGATGTCATGCTCGGTGCCGCCAGAGCTGACTTCCCCCCTCGGGACGAAATGCAAAGACTCGCTGAGACCGGGGTCCCTGCACCACAGCTGCACTTACTTTAAGCATTGAAAACTTCACCTGTTTGCCAGCACTTGTTCAGGCTGCTGTCTTTCCAGTCTCTTCTGAACACGTATTCAAGTGTAGCGTATTGGCACTTCACATTTTCAGGTACTAGTGGTGAATGCGCGTGACGATCCGATCCACCCTATGAGCTCTGCTGAAGCCGTGAAGGAGATCTTTGGCCACAGCGCGACACTCGTTGTCGTCGACAAGGCAGGGGTTCAGCCCGGCAGGGAGATGCACACTTTTACTCCCATACAACTCACTTCAATGCTCAGGCCCTCAGGCCCGGGCAACCAACGTGCGCGAACACCGGCGAACACCCTTCGCTTCGTTTGATCTTTACACGTATCACTTCAAATTCAGTTCTTCGACATGGAGCATTGAAGATGACGCGGGAATTGTGCAGGCAATCATCAACAGGTCGATGCTCACGGTACGCAGCAGATGATTTGTTTCACCTGGTTCTTCCTTGACCATGGGTTGTTTTCAATAGTTCCATACGGGAAGTGGAAGGCATGCAATGCCGTGAATCAATTGGAAGGAGCGATATGGCTGGGTTTAGACCCGTACATCACATGGCAGACACTGCGCATGCAAATGCATTTTTTTTTTTGCGTGTGTGTGTGTGTGTGCATGAGTCTCTTGCATAATACGAGCCTTCGAACTGTGCATTACAAACCATGGAGCGAGGATAATGATCGCGTGTCCGTGAAGCATATTTTGCGCAGCTCTCCAATTAACTATTTACACGGGGTCCTCCGTGGCAGAGCTCGATCCATCGTAAATTCCAATCCACGGTTTTGCATTGAAAGCTCCAAATCGCGGCAGTATTCGCAGTTTGGCAGTTTCCTGGTGGTCTTTGGGTGGTTTCCTGGTCTGCTGGTTTCGGGAGGTCTCCTGATGGTCTCCAGTGTTCTCCTTGTTCGTGGTCTGTTGGTTGTCGTGGTCGTAATGGTCGTCGTGGTGGTCCTAGCGGTCGTAGTTGTCATGGCCGTCGAGGTGCTCTTTCTCTATTTGGGGATCTATGCTGGCATTGCACATGCATGTGTGTGTACAACCAGCAGCAGGCAAAAGGACATGCTCGCTCATGCAAGAATACATATGTTTGCATGAATCGCGCGCGATCCGGTCCATTGGATTTCTTGCGTAAATTCTCCAGCCCCAGCACGTGTAAAATCCAATAGTTCGGAGCTCCCGAACCTGACGAATCTCCCCCCTCCGCCACAGCGTTTTGTTTTCTCTGGGGCGGAAAACCCTGATCTCGCCACACTCCCACGCTCGTGTTGGGCTCGGCGATCATTGGCAGGTCCAGGATGCTCCCAGCAAATTCACGGAGGAGCTTGTGAAGTGGCTCGCGGCTTTGCCGGGCTGAAAGCGGCCCTGCTCTTGCACCGTAGAAATTAGACATCTTTTGTGTATTAGAAATCTTTTGTGTATTGCCTCCCAGTGCTTGTGCAGTACGCACTGGCATAGCACAGCCAGCTTCAATGAATGTTAGGGGCGTCTCAAAGCTATGCCACGGCAAGTGTAGACAAGCGGAGAGTCAAAACAAGTAAACTTCAACCTGCTTCGGCAAAGCATCATGCGACTGCACAGATGAGTGTCGCGGCTGCCTAATGTCAGGTGGCCCTCTGCTGGAAGTAGTTCAATACTTCGTCGTGGGAGCACTGGAGGACGAGATTGAGGGATAGGATCACTCAAAGCGATTTCGTCACAAGTCCACTTGGTGGTCAATCACTGGTTTCCATTCAGAAGTTCGATGTCCGATAGCCTGACCCAAGTTCGGACGGTGCAGCAGTGGCGATCATAGAACCGCAGGAGAGCAGGGCTCAAGCCAATGCACCAAGTCGGATCAAGCAAGCTCTTGCTTGAAGTAGCCATAATCTGTCAGTTGAGTCGAACATATTCCAACAACTTTGTTGTCTTTAGGAATGGTGAGCTTGCAGCTGCCGTCCAGGGGCGTCCATGGCGGGAGCGCGTGAACAACTGAAGCAAATTGCGGAGACGGCTTCGTTGGAGCACCTCCAGCAGCTGCTGGCATATGCTGTGGAACTCGGTATTCGGGCAGACCAGGGGGCAGACGAAGGTCAGCCAGTTGTGGATATTCGAGTTCTCTACCCGTCTGGTGAAGTGGCCTTGAATGAGCCACTTCCTGGCAGAATGACGGTCGGTGCTGTGTTGCTGCGCTTGGGCACCCAGGGCGAGGCACCAGGAAGAATGTCCTTGCTTCTTGGGACTAATGTGCTGAGGCGAGATTCAAGGCTTTCGGACTTGAACCTCACCGCTCAGGATTGCTTTTACCTTGTCAGGAGAGCTACAGGCACATACATGCAATGGAACCCATCTGCGCTCACAGGTGCCTACCTATCGGAGGATCCGCGCCCGGAAGCGCAGTATGACCACCTCGCAAAGTGTGTCATTTTGGGTGCGGCAGGCGTGGGAAAGACAGCACTGCTGCGTTCATTGTGCAGTGAGGCATTCTCAGACCACATCCAACCTACGATCGGCATCGACTTCAAGATTCTCAACCTGAAATCTGAGGATGGAATCAAGTTGAAAGTGCAGCTCTGGGACACCGCAGGGCAACCCCGATTCCGACCCATTGCGAAGAGCTACATGCGTGGTGCAAGTGGCTTCCTCGCCGTGTTCTCTCTCTGCAATCGCCATTCGCTGCAAGATCTTTTTGAGCTTCTCGAGTCTGCAGAGGCAAACAATCACGAGGCGTGCCGCTGCATCTGCCTGGTCGGAACACACGCAGACAGTCCCAATCCGGCAGTGACAGAAGAAGAGATCCTCCAGTTCGCGAGGGATAAGAACTATCAGTACTTTGCAGTGTCAAACAAGACGGGGCAAGGTATTGATCAGCCTTTCTCTGCTTGGCTGGATTCCTACCTTCAGGTGGTGGCTCACTAGTGCCCTCGCAGCACGAAAAAAAGAAGCTTCTTTGCACAGGCTGATCGACAGAGTGGTCTGTTAAAGGGGTTTCCGTGGTTTGCAGGCTTCGATTTTCACCTAGGCAGTCTCGCATCTCTGATCGTCTAGTTTGCCGCGAAATTTGGCTGTTTGTACACTGCTGCAGGATCCACGCAGCGCAGCTACCGTCCATGCGAATCTGTTGGAAGTTACTGCATGGCGACGGCGGAAAAAAGGCCGTGACAAACTGATTGCCAGTCCGGGCCTGTGCCGCTCCACACAAAATCTCGGAGATGATTGGCCGGTCCCAGGTACAGTATTGGTGTCGACGTCTTAGTCTTCTGACCTCGGCACCGTACACTTATGCTCGAGGAGTTGTGTAAAACAGTTGACGACAGCTGCATGTTAACACACGGAGCTGCTTCCTCCTCCACCAGAGAGGGGGGGTTTCGAGATTCGCCACACGACGGATCTTGATGGAATGTAATTACCAAGCTGCAGGATACTGCATCCTTTTCCGGCTTAGGAAAGCATGGCCTGCTCCAAACGTCAATGGCATAAGTACATGAGTCTGGATTCCTGCAAGACGAGAAAGTGTGCCGTGCGAAGCTTGCGATGTCATAGCCCTTCTGTACACTTGCCTGACAAGGGTTAGTTTAAATGCAGCTTGGGAGTGTGACGTGCAGCGTAGGCAGGATTCCTGGAGTGCATAGCGCTCTACATTTGGACTTTCACAGTTGTAGGGGCAGACGGCAGACGAGTCTCGGGAATCCCTTCCGTCAGCTTGACCCAAAGGGGTGTTAGGGCGAGACAGGATGGTGGGGAAAACAGGCTTTCTTGAAGAGGACACTCTGCGAAAGCCTGCGCTTCTGAATGCTTCAGCTGCTGGTACTCCTACTGCCGGCGTCCTCAACAGTTCAGTGCAGCAGGACCTTGCACAATGCGCATGCAATGGTCGCGACACGTACACCTGACAGCCGCAGCATGTCGAGCAAAGCAACTTAGAGTCCTAGAGCTGACAGGTCTTAGTACTTGTGCCCGGTCCGAAGTGAGGATAGCAGGAAAGTAGGAGCCGCTTGACATGCCGGTGCCTCGTTTGTGATGTGTTTGTACACCCGGAGCCTCTTCACGCACTATGGGCGATGAGGCAAGCGAGAGAGGGAAAGAGAGCTAGTAGCGGGCAGAGCAACTTCACAGCAGACGAGTAGAGAGGCGATAGGAGGCTCTCCACACCTTTTCGAGAGAAAACTGCGGCCGTGCTTGCATCGAACTTAAGACGCACGGTGCCCAGGCATACATGCTACTCGGCCCAGGCATGTGAAAGAACCAAAAGGCCATTCTGACTCCATGTCCAGAAAGCGAGAGAGAGAGTGGGCAGGCAGTATACCCCCGCCTTTCTCGAAGGCAAGTTGAGAGCAGAAGAAAACCCGACTATGTCGCATGTGCATGGGCATGAGTACGAGTCTAGCCCGTCACTGTGCTATGCTTGCTAGCACGATCCTACGGCACATCGATGCCTAGCCGCAGGCGACACTGCGATTCACGGGCGTGTCCGACCCCGGCCTGTCTTCTTTTAGAAACATCAGCGGCCGATCAGTTAGGGAATCTGGGAGTTGCCGATGCCGTGGTAGGATGGTCCCTAGCTTTACGACTCTGATTTTCGAGCTGTAGTGAGCAGCAACCCCGCCCCGGCGATTGGCATGCAGGTGCCCCGCCGACTTTCAGATGAAGGCTGGACGGTCAAGCCAAGCTTTCCCGAAGATGCCGGGCTCAGTACCAGCTTGGCCATGCCTGGCCTCGGCTGAAGGTTGCTCCGCCAAGGACAAGTTGCGCAGGTGGGGTTCGTCTTGCACTCGAGGGCAGAGCTGCTTGGCCGCGCCTCGTGTCCGACTCAGTCCCGATTTGGGCAGGCAAGAGGCGTCCCCGGCATGGAGGCAGTTGTGGCATGTGCGTTTTGTGCGTCTGCATGCAGTTACAGCGGCACAGCGGAATCCTGGCTGAGATCCCAATGTGCAGCATGTGTCAGGCTTTTTCTCGTCTCGGTCAAAACCAGCATCGAGAGAAGAGGAGGCCGGAAGCAGAAGAAGTTTCTGCATCCTCCTGGCCCCAGAAGTCTTGTGCATCACACGCGTCTTGATGGTGCGCTTAGTGTATTAGCTAGCACCACCTACAGGTTCAACTTGCAGGTTGCAGTTGCGAAAGTGTGTTGACACATCTCCATTGTCCGAATTACTAGCACGCGAAAATCCTGACAGAACATGCTACAAGTCACTTCTGTTCGCGCAGGCATTTGGATCTCGAAAGCGCTTGCGACCAGGAGTAGTTGAAGGTTCATGCTGGGGATCAATGCTGAGGAGAACCGCATTAGCCGGTATAGAGCCACGATATGCAACAACATAGAGTCAGCAGAGGAGCATGCAGCAACGCTTTTGCAACGCAGGGCTTGTTTAACCCGGTGTAAGACGCCGCATGCTCTGCATGTTCCCGCCCATGGAATTTCGGTGGGAATGTCAGAGCTGAATAAAGAAGACATTCTGGGACTTTGGTGCCTGCGGTCCTTGTCTCCCGGCTGAAAACATCATTCTGACATCGCGTTGGCTGCAAAAACCAAGCGGCATAATAACCCACAGATTAGCTCTCCCTCGCAGTTGTCGTTTGAGACATCTGAATTGCCGTCGGCGGTGGTGTCATCAGTTTGATTGTCATCGTCGTCGTCGTCGTCGTCGTCGAATGGCAATAAGCGCAGCAGTAGAAGCCAATCGTCATACAGGTAGAAGTTTGAATGCGCTAGCATCAGAGGCGCTGAAAGGGCTGTGTTCCTTGGCTGGCTCTTCCCAACACACCATGTGCCACGTCCTAGCCAGGCGGGAGGCAAAAACTGTGGCAAGTGCACGCCTTAGAACACTGCAAACGAACTAGACACACATGTGTGTGTGTGTGTGGTTGTGCTTGTGATGGTATGTTGACACGGTACACGGTCAACGTACAGCTACATACACACTTACAATCACTTACATACATACCTTGCTCATACAGAGCTGCCAATCCGACGTAGACAAACACACTCAATCCCTGTTTGAGACCTGGGGTGTCGTTCCTAACTTCGTTGACTGATCCTGCGGGAGCTGGAAAGTTCAATTCGCACGCATGGCATGTCTTCTGACAGACCATCGGAATAGAAGTCTTTGCTGTCCATTTTCAACTAGAACATGCATGCCCGCTTTTTGTGGTTTATGTGGCAGGCTTCACGAGCTTAAGGCAAACTTGTTTGCCGCACTGGCCCGGGGTGAGAAGTGCGTGCTGAAGCTCGTGGCCGGGCCATTGGACGCACCTCCCGTTGACGGCGCCTGCTCCGCCGTGGTCAGAGCATGCCATGAACACCTGCAGATCTGCAAGCTGGAGACGGTCTCTCGGAAGCACGAAGCTAAACTGGCTGCATCACCAACTTGAAGTAAGTCGCGTAGATTTCTGGCTTTGCCCTCATCCCCACCCGATTCTTTCATGTTGCGGCGCTGGTGTCAACGGTCCCGTGAGCATTCCCGAGGATGGCCTCAAAGACCTGCCCATGTACATGTCGCCAGTCATCCCTATGACGGCAGAGGAGTTTGATGGCTCTGAGTTAGACACCTTCTTCCGCAAGGTTGGTATAGGCACGGAATGTTGAGGGCATCTTCTAGCAAGTGTTGTCTTGGGGTGAGCATGCATATTTTTGAGTGGAGGGTTGAAGCCCGAGCGCTTGACTTAGCTTGGCGACAGCATGCCAGTGGCTGCTTTTGCTGCTGCTTCTGGTTCGATGCACCGCAGGCTATGACGTGCTTTTGTTCTTGGACTCCATCGCGGAAGTAATGAATTTGTCAGACCAAAGCCAGTCAGATCCGGCTTTTGCAGCACGAATTGATGTTATTCAGGCGGCGGTTCACAAACTGTACGGCAAAGACCAGCTGCTAAAGTCCGGTTTCTGTGAAAGCCTGTGCCACCCGCCTGAAGGTGACATGCCCGCCGCCAACTACAGCGGCTGCTACGCCGACGGTTCCCGGTCTTGTCACAGTCCACATTTTGTCGTGGCCAGGGAATGGCAAGGCAAGACGAGGGGATCAGACCGTTTTTCTGTCTCAGCATACTACTTGTAGGAAGGTTAACGGTTTGCAACCTCACCCTGTAGCGCTTGGATTTAGATTTTGTGGACGTGTGGCCAATAGTATTTCAGCATGTGGTGCTGGAAAGATGTGCAAGCAGAGCCCTTCAGTATCGCTAACATCTTTGAGTTGTGGTGGGCTGAGGCTGGCTCCTGCGGCTTGCGTGTGAGTTGGGCAGCCTTTGAGCTGCTGGAGATGCTGGGAGTGCTCGCCTCCAGGCACGGAGCGCTGGCCTTGGCCTTGGGCTTTACAAAATCTTCGATGCGTTCTGGAGAGGTATGGTCCGTCTCTCTTCCTTGGTGACATCGATGGCACGGGTGGTGAGGAAATGGCCATGAAACAGGTGCAGCATGACCGCCGCCGCGCACTTCCTTGAAGATGCGGGTGTTATGAAGGGCCCAATATATAAAGGGGCTTCGAATTCGCTTTGCAGCCCCTGCAGGCGCTCAGCTTGGCGGCCAAGGCCATGAAGATCCTGACCGAAGATCTAGACCCCAAGCTCGAGAACAAGCTCTGGAACCAGACGGACGCTCGGCTCTGCACCTGGCTTCACTTTCTGTGAATGGAGGTCCTCAAGAGCTTGGATTTTCTCGTTGCTGATTTAATGCCGACTTCGGACGAGCTGGAACCAACCAATAAACAATGCACAGCGGAGATGTCCAAACATGAAGCAACGCACAGCATGCACGACAAATGACATCACAGAGTGCAGGTACACAGTGAAGCGTCTCGCACTGCTTCAGGCATCTGATGAGCGTCTTTGTTAGTGCCAGTCTCATCGGCACCCTCTACTCTCTTCTCATCCCAGCATGCTCAACTTTCCTCTAGTCCCATGTGGGTTTTGGGTTTCACACACACACACACCTTTCAATGTGCATCGACGGAAGCTATGGGTGTATAAGGCCGCTGTAGGTTAGGTGCATTTTGTTGAGCGAGTTGCTGGCCTCTGAAGATGCCCCCGCGTCATGCAAGGGCACCTCCTTTGCAGCATAATTGTCATGCTGTACTTCTTCTGTGCCAGATGGGGGGCACCGTTGGTACAAATATCCCAACTGCGTCGGTGAATGAACGCTGGTAGGTTGATCATGTTGTCACCGCAAGCTTCTTCTAACATGGCGCAGTTGGACTGAAGGCGTGCGCCATGCCCTGTCCGGCTAGGAATGGCCACGTGGATGACCGACGTGGGGATAACTCTTTTTGAAGGAGTTCGGTCCTATCTAGCTTTGATTCTTTCTTTTGGAAAACTTACAAATTCACATATGTGCCTACAAGTTGAGACCTCGGTTCATGTATTTTTTGGTTCATAGAGAAAGATGTCCTACAGCTGAAGAGTCTCAGCAATCCCCACAAGCCCAAGAAAGTAGCGGGGCCTTGGTGGCCGGGGGGCCTGACCAGCATGAGATCGATGTGGATGCGGGGGTGTACTGCTCAGAAGACAGATCCCTCAAAACGGAGGGCCGAACTGCAGACACGAGCCGAGGGGGTGGGCCTTTCGGCCAGGGAGCACGCAGCAAGCAAGCATGACAGATGACTCAAGCCAAGGACAGGGACCTCGCTTTCGCCATCGAGGCTGTCCTTAAGGGAAGCCAAGATCGGCGGAGATCTTTGCCCTCTTTATAATAGCACCGGCTCAATGGCTGGTAACCAGCCACGCGTATGTAATTGCAGGTGTGAGTCTTAAAGATCCGTCCTGCGTTTGCCTGACATCAAGAAGAATCAGGTCTGAGTCTGAGCCACGCATCTTCCGAAGATTGAAGTTGGAGTTGTACATAGAACCCTTGCCTTGTCCTGCAAGGGTTTCAACGAGTGCCGGACAAGATGTCTGAGCTTTATCGGCCGTGCCAGCATCGCAGCAAGCAGCTGACAAAAGCTCCGCTGCTACTCCTTTATTGGCCGCATCCCACCCATTCTCGAGTCGTTCATGCTTCCACGAGGCAGCAGAGACACCGGAGGAGGTCCTCTTGAGAGGCCATTGCAGACAGTGCGAATGGCGAGCACGACACCCTTGAACTGCGCAGGCATGGTGAGCAGCTTGAAGGAGCAGAACGATCTCCAGCGTTGGATCCTTAGCAGACAAATATCCGGTTGCACAACCAAGCTTACGCGACAACCTTGCGTGGCTATGGCTCTTCAGGCAGCGAGATCGCCGCCCTGAGATGCCCAACAAAGCAGCTGGTGGAAGCAGAGGCAGGCATTGGCACAACTTGGCACTAATACTGCGCCATGAGCAATGCCAAATATGATCCATGAAAGCCTCGGGGAGGCACAAACGGATGCTGATGCAGCAGCAGGAGCAGCATGAGTGGCTACGCAGAACGGAAGTAGAGTGCCATCCCTTCATTGCACCTGCCAGACACGGGTGTGTTTTCGGAAGGCACAGCATCAGCACACTCGGCTACTGTCGACACCTGTGAGGTGGTGCTCTGCATGTCTAAAGCCATGGCGAACACTAGATGCTTGCCGGCCCACAGGCCCAACAAATGCAACTCGACATGTTGCACCAGGAGGCCGCATGTGCTACAGTATCAATAATAAGCTTTCTGCCAGCACTGCTGCCTCGACCTGCTGCACCATCGGGAATTCGGCGGCAGGTTGGCGACAAAAGCCGTGAGCTGCGCCGCTCACAAGACACCGTTCGGTGCTTGTTGTGCTAACTGCTAGCAGGGCATGTCAGTATGTCCCACCGCTGGGCGCAGCCTGGCATGCTACCTTTCAGTGTCAATACGCTGAGGTCAAGTTGTTGCGCTCGGAGCTGGAGCAGCAGCGGCAGGTGGGACCTGCTGGACAGAAATGGATAGTAGTGGATAGGATCCTTTACTGCTCCATGGTCCATTGATCCTATGATCGCAGGGGTGCGCATCGGCTCTCACACAAAGCCGAGGTCTCCGAGCAGTACCGCTTGCAAACGGAAATGCTGGAGGCTTCTTCGGCCGTTTGCGAATTTGCAAAGGCTGACTCGTGGTTTCAGAACAGCTGAAGAGTTCTTGTTCGAATTGCCTTGCCATGAGTACCCCAGCATGGCGACAGAGCTACCGTGGCATCTGAAGACCAGCGAACGACAACCGCCAGCGTTTCTGGCAACACCGTGCCAGCCTGCCAGGAGGAGCTGCGGCGAACGACCGATCGCCTAAAGAAGCTGGAGAAAGCATCTGCAGAGGCCGAACAAAACCGGAACGAGTGATCGTTGCACACTCTCGCCCCAGCAGCAACATTCTGAAGCCTGTTGCAGGCGAGGCACACGACCTCGCTTGGGACTTAGAGGTGCAAGCGGCGGTACCGTTGTGTGAGTCTCGTGCTGACGACTTCAGGCAGCATCTTCCCGAAATGCCTTCGTCCTCATTGCCGAAGTCATGGAAGGCCTTGCATGATGGGGAAGCCCAGCGGAGTCAGCATGCCTACAGTCTGTCTCAGTAGGGCGCAACTTCAAGCAGATGTTTCTCGGATGAGGACACCGAGGCCGGTCTTGCGCGATGCCGCAAGTGCGTTTTCGCCACATGGATGCCAGGACAGCCCAGAGGAGCAAGAAAGGCTTGATATCTAAAACCCCATGATTTTGATTTGGGTCTGGCGGAGCCCGTCAGGTGACCTTCCTGGGCTGAGGGCGTGAGCCTGGATATGCATTTTAGTTATTGCCGAAGGCTTCACATCACCATGAACATGCGCGGGCTCTGGGTCGGCGCAAAGGCAAGCTTGGCAGCAGAGACGCTGCAGTACCGGTACCGTGTTCTGTCCAAAGCTAAAGCATGAAAACGTGCGTCAACTTGTGCTAAGCTTGTCCGTGTCACTTCCGGTGCGCCCGGACAGCCCTGGCGAATCTGCAGGGGCTCGGTAGCAAGATTGGAAGCACCTGGACACTATCACCCACTGAGAGTTGTGAAAGCTTCAAGACATTTCAAAACACAAGCTCTAGAGGCTTGGAATTACCCGGTGCTGGTGCCATAGAATTGATAGAAAGAGCCGATCTCCTCATGGAGCGTGCGCTCTCCACGTTTCGAGCCCAGCCGTCAGCCTGGTAGCAGTGCTGTTTAGGAAGTTCAGGTTATTTCAGGTCGTCCTTGTTATGTTTAGACCGTCAAAGCATATAGACCCTAGACAGATCCGGCAAGGACCATCTCTGAGGAATTCTTACGACTAGGGCATAAGACCCGTTTATGTTCCTTAACAGGACAACCCTGCGGCTGTTTGGGCCCATTGTCTAAGTCCACTTGCAAGTCAACTTTGGGCACTCTTCACTCGAGATCGCTATGTATGGCGAGAGATCGAAAAATCCAGTTTCAAGATACGAAACACAGCATGCCCTCCGGAACAGCTGCGTCTACTGCGTGTTGCCTTGCCTGAACCTTCATGCCGCAGCAAGCCAGTATGCACGCCAACGCACGCCAGCCACAGCCAATCCAGCGTAGTACCATAGGCAAGCCCAGTCCCGCAGCTGTACACGATAGCAAGCTATACTGCACGTGCCCTGCACGCATCGTGCCTATAGCCAGTCTGCCCATAATGCCATAGGAAGCCTCATCGTCAGCCTCATCGTCCCTGAACCTGCGCAGCATGGCGAGCCAGAAAAATGCTCAGCAACAAGGGCTTGCGGCTCCTGCTGGCACCAGGAGGTTTCAGGGTAGCTGGAGTGGGCCGCTTTTGATATCATTCGATTACCCTGTGCATCCTTTCTTTTGCAGCTTCAGAGTCGTGTCGACGAAGGTGTGCATGCATGCTAGTCCATAAAATGGCACAGCGTCTGACCGGCTAAAAGCCAGGGTGACACTGCCCGCATCACGCCTAGAGCAAATCGGGGACGCCAAAGATTTTTGATGTTGTATGCCAAAACATGGC